AAGTATTCATTGTCATCTGTTAATTCTATTTGGTCAGTGGCCCAGTCCCATCTACCGAAGAACATTTACAACTTTACCATCCACTACATCAACAACTCTCTTCCTACACGTAAGAATTTGGTAAGATGGGGATTATCACAAAGTCCTGATTGTTCCGTTTGCCTTAATCCTGAATCACTCCTTCATGTTGTCGCTGGTTATCAACAATGCCTTGATCGCTTTACCTGGAGACACGACTCAATCCTTAACTTCATTTCCAAGACCCTTCAACCTGTAATTAATGTTAGCTCCTCAATCTATGCAGATGTTACTGGTTTTCTAAATCCCTCAATAATAACTGGTGGAAATTATCGCCCAGATCTTCTTTTCCTAACCCAGTCCAAGTGCCTATATGTTCTAGAACTAACAGTTGGTTCCGAATCTAACTTGTACAACAATGCAGTACGTAAAAAAGAAAAATATCGGAACTTGATTAACGAAATGAGTTGAACTTTCAGATGTGTGAAATTTGTAAATCTCTCCATGAGCTCCCTTGGCGTTTTCTCAGGTGAATGCTCTACGTTCTTAGACCTGATGAATGACATAGGCATTGCCAAAAAGCAGCAACTTTACATAATCAAGACAATGATAAATATAGCTATTAGAGCAACATATTACGTCTTTTGTTGTAGAAATAGGAGTTGGGATAACCCTGATTTGATGCACTTTTGATTTTTGTGTGTGTGTTGAATAAGCCAATCTCAAGCAGCATTTGTAAATTGCCTATACGTAGTGAGATTTACAATTGTACATTTAAAAACACAAATAAAGTTTCCATTATTATTATTATTATCATTTCGGTGTGTCGTATCGCTGAGTATTTTTACTCGTTATTGGTAATTGACTCGCCCAATAGTTCCAAACTGGTGGTTAGCTAAAATTGCAGAGACGTCAAATGAAAATCAGAAAGGTGGGACATCCATATTATTTACGCCAGTCTGGTTGCTGTATCTATCATTATAATGACAGCATCGTCGTTGCTGGTCTACTACCTTCTCCTAATATATCCGAAACCCTACACAACAAAATGACCACAACCATAATCAAGACTCCTGTGTCGTTTTTCGATACTACCCCAGCTAGTTGTATTCTCAATCGATTCTCTAGAGATGTTGGTTGCATGGAAGACGTGCTACCGCCGCTGTTTTTGGAAGCCACTGAATTTTCCCTATTCGCCGTAAGTGCTGTTTTGGTCCCTGCTACAACAACCTGCTGGCTTTTTCTTGGCCCTTCTCCCAGTCATCGTGATATTTGGTTAATACCCGCGTTATCAATTGCAGTCCTCACGAGAACTGAAACGGATCAAGGCATTGAAGTGCAGCCCCGTTTACTCGAACATCACCGAGTGACGCAGAGATTCGGTACGATCGTATTGGAGGTTGCAAATTAGAAGTCGAGAGTAAAGAGTTTGAAAATTTTCTGGCAGTGAAAATGGTCGTTATGGCTTTAGAGGTCTGAGCTGTAGTAGCTCAAAAAAGTCTTTGGTAGAAAATTTGATATAAGAACAGAGAGGTATCAGGACGAGAACACACAAGCTTTTATTTTGGTGATATCATGTACCCGCTGGTTGAGTATTCGCTTGGATCTGATGTCCAGTTCGATTGTTGCAATAACTGCCATTTTGGTCGTAGAAAATCCTGGTAAGTATGCGCAAGCTACTATTTTTTAAATAAAAAACTATTTGTTAAAACATCGTAGGAACAGTGCTTGTTACAGTTTTCTCATTTAAGATGGGTTTAGAAGGATGAAGTGCCTTTAAATTCCTCTCTGCTGGTTCAACTCTCCTTGGGTCTGTCATGATATGAAAAATGGTACTCAAGGCTAACTTGCGCAATCTTTTGTGCCCCACCGTAAAAATTAATCCCAGCATTCTCCAAACCATCCAATTTCAAACATCACTATTTATCTCAGATACTTTATTTTTCTCAGCACTGGCTGGACTGGCTGTAACATACGCTCTGCAGTCCCTGGATGGCACACAATATTGTGTGACCAACCTCAGAGGTGGAAAATCTGATGACATCAGTTGAGCGGGTGATGTCTTATACCAAGATAAGGTCTGAACCTCGCTATAGCATTGAAACCCGTCCCCCTCAGTCATGGCCCGATAAAGGAAGCCTGAAAGTAAGTCATCTCTCCTTAGCTTACTATGAAGGCGGACCTTCCGTATTAAAGGACATCACCTTAAACGCCTCTGAGAAAGCAAAGATTAAAGTTGTAGGTCGAACTGAAGTCGGAAAGTCATTGTTGGTTTCAGCTCTGTTCCGTATGCCGGAAACCTCAGGGAAGGTAGCAATATCAAACGATGCAAATTGCCTTTAGTTCCCTACAATCGAGTCATATTGATTTAAATTTTGGGAAAAGTTCTCAAGCCTCAGGTTCCTTGTGACAGCAATACTCCAGTTCTATTCAGTCTTCCCGTTCTCTAGCTACGAAAGTTGCTATGAAACGAAAAATATTTTTGAGCACGCGGATTTTCTCATAACGTATCTATATACCTGCAGCACAGTAGAGTATTTGCATTGAATCAACATTTTGCGGGGGACTTTGGCCAGACTGCATTGAGCAGTGTGCAATTTTTGAAAGGAAATTTTGAAAATGCCCCCAATATCAGAATCAAGGCCGACCACAACAGAACATGAAAACATGAACATGAAATTTAGTCTCTGGCTTTAATTTATGGATAATCTAAAACTTAACGATGACAAAACCCGCTAAAAAAATACTACTAACGTTGATATCGGGCGATAAATATAAACCTTATTATAGGAAATTAACAATGCATGATGACAACGCGAAGAAAACTTAAGTTAGACTAAATTAACGCGAATTTTTAAAAAATTAGATTTACATGCATTAAAAGCGTACTTTTTGATGAGCATCTTGCTTTATTTACTGCTATTTTCATAATTTTGCAAACTCGAACTTTACATTTCTGAACGCTAAACTGCGTTTTGGCCTCTGTCAATAAAACCTTCCAAGACAAGTCCACGGATGTTTCTAAGTTTTTGTTAAAGCCAAAAATTTGGTTTTGAAGCTTAACTAGCCCCTATTAATTCAAAAGATATTTCAAAGCCTCCGTGAAATCACCAAGAGCTGCTCACTCGTTTGATTGACGGAAACCAAACCGCAGTTTGTTGCAGGTACACAAACGTGCTGCACTTTCAAAATCTCAACACACATGTCTCATGGAGAAAAAGAAGCATTTACAGCAGTTAGCTTTTAGGAAATAAAGGTGCTTTAAAATAACAATGTTGTAAAATAACGTGCATTAAATTTACATCGACATTAATCAAGATACATTAAATCAACGCGAATTTTTTAAAATTGCGTTATCAAAGTGCATTGTTAATTTGCTGCAATAAGGTATATCTTATTATTAAAAACTAGATCATTGGATAATGCAATTCAAGACTTTTTATTGGCTTAGCCATTATGGTATATCAGCCAATATACCATAATCTACAAATATGGCAAGCGTACGTGTCAGCTTAAAATTAAAAGGGAGCTAAAAATTTAATAAAATTTAATAATTTAATTTAACGTTTTTAATAAAACAATTATTCCACTCGCGCTTGTTGGATATGAGATGATTATAGCCAACTCGGCGCTACGCGCCTCGTTGGCTATCTATCATCTCATATCCAACGCGCGCTCGTGGAATAATTGTTAATTAGACGTTTTGTTGTGCAACATCGCTGAGTATTTTTACTCGTTGTTTTCTATTTTGACTCACCCTTCGGGCTCGTGAAAATACGGCACAACTCGTAAAAATACTCAGCGATACTACACAATAAAACTCCATAGGAGATTTATTATCCAACACGCCAAATTGTTATTTTAGTGCGGGCGAATTTCGTGAACATTTCTGGAGTACAAATATCGTGTGATATTTGTACTCCAGAAATACATGTGGAGGGTAATACAAACAGGCAGTTGGGACTCACTCAAAGGTGACCGCGACTGCTCTCATAACAAGGTTACCTCTTAATACGGTGCCGCTTAACACAGGTTTGACTGTATGGGACCTCATTTACAACATTCACCATACATCAGCGTTTTATAAGGTTAAAAAATACCTTTGATCTTTTTTGGCCGTTTAGGAGTTGGACCACCATGAGAAGACGAAATCTTCATATTTTCTGAACTATCGCCTGCCTCTGACGTTCCTGTAGACAAAAATAAAAGCTACATGCTCATATTTCTCTTTTCAAAAGAGAAAGAAACGGTGGTGTATTCTGAATTCTTACAGCATGCCTACAGATTCGTTGACATGCAGAATTGTAGAATTCCAGCCCACACTATGTATTTACTTCTATCATAGATCTTAAATTTGCCATTTACGAGATTGTCACTTTTTTTCACCATGAATATGGTTAGAAAGAAAGTATTCATGGTTTCGAGCTTTACTTTGGATGCATTGGAGTAAATAACCTAGATGAAAACACAACAGGCGACTTCAGGCGGGAATTGACTGCAAGACTCAAGTCGTTTCTTATAACTATTGGTCATCTCTCACAGTTCAGAAAACAAAGAAATCCGAATGGTCAACCTATTTGAATTTTTAATCTACACCTGTGCAGACCGCCATTCTTCGCTATTAACTTTCCATTGTCCGTACTGCTAACCGGAAATCATCTCTAATCAAACTGAATTTCCAAAAAGACTTACCACGTGCATCTTGTAAAACCTGAGTCTAAAGTATGAGGAAAGAGAAAATTTGAAACTGTTACGTAATAACTTGAGAGGACCTGAAAAATTACCAATTTTTTACTATGAATTTTTTACATGAATTTTTGTAACAGGACTACATCTAAAGGCGAATAGATGAATTGAAAAAAGAAATCCTGTCTAAGAGGTTACCAGGGGGGCATGAAGATAGGGAAATAAGCAAGAAAAAAAGGAAAAACTATGGGGAAGCGAGGAAAGAAAAGGAATATGGTTCCAGCCATAAATAGGATGCGACTTAATTCACTAGTTCTCCGTTTGAACTGATACTATTCTTGATAGATTCAGCCCCTGCTCCTGTGCTTTTTCATTAAGTAAATGGTTTGAGTTTAATGTTATGTTATATCGCAGTTAAATCTTACTTTTTGAGGTGTAACAATTGTCATGTTCCGCAGACATTTTGAGCCATCCTCGTTAAAGAACTTAACTTGGACATCTCCTCGATTTCTTTGCACAATGACTTCGCTTTCGTACTTCTCTGAGCGATTAAACCTTGAACGCAAATAAATGTATTATTTCTTAAATAAAATCAACGTCACCCTTAGCAAACAGCGTTGACCGTGAACATCTGACTTCTATCTCGAATTAAATTGGACCCAAAAAATCCGATCATTGCAAGTTACGTAAATGTTTGTACAAGTGCTTGAGCTGTCTAGTTGACTCCAATTACCTTCCTACTGTTAAAATCTCCCTATAGTAAGCTCAAATTAGATTTGAGTAGCGTACATTTAGGAAAAACTTCAAAGGTAATAGGCGAAATATAAATCTAATTAAAACTTCTCAAGTTAGTAAGCACTTATGTTGTAAGAGATACTTCACATAATATTACCTCAAAATTAATTCGTCAGCTAATGTTTCTTTACGAAGTTTGAGACCCCTATAAGGCCTTGCAGTTATTCTTTCATCGTCACAGAGCTTCTCGTTAGAGCTTCCACATCCATAAAGGGAGACTGAGTATGTAGAAAACCATTCCTGTCTGACTCGTTTCTCCAAATGACTAGGATAACAACAAAATCTCAATTGAGAATTTCTACTAAACTCGTCGACTCTACACAAGCACGCAGCGAATCCGGCTGTTCTTGGCTTCGAATCAGCGTGATGATATAGACGAGACTGCCTTCTTAAACGTTTTCTTTCCTTTCGCGATACCAAAAACCTGCAAAGAAATGATTCGTTATGTCAGCGTTAGCTCTTTGTTCTTCAAGTTTGGTGTAGCAATGAGACTCATAAGTGCTTTCTCGCTTTCTTTTAAACAAATAAAAAATCCGCAGATTGTCATATTATTTTTAAAAAGACTCTCGTTCTGTTTTGATAAGTAATGCCCATTTGGGATAGTAAATTGAAACCTTTTAACACACCGAGTAAAATGTCTGACTTGAAATGTCACCACTCTATCATTTAGTTCCGCTGGTCTTGGCAGCTCCTTTGTTATATCTTTCCAACCTGTTGTTCCGTCGTCAGAATTTGCTGACACCACTATATCACAGGTTGAGAAATCTACATATTGTTCCTCGTTTGCGCTAAGCGACATGGGGAGTGTAATTTCTGCTGGTTCTAATAGTTGAATAGCACTGGAACATGTGATGTGCAATACAGGTCCTGCCAAGACTCCACTTTCTTCCAACCATTCTTGTGGGATTTCTTGTACCTTTAAAATAAAGTAATCTGAACAAAATTATTTACTCTTTGAGTTCTTTCCTGTAGAAAATTGTTCCGCTGCAAAAAGAAAAAAAAAATTGAAAGGGCAAAGAAAAGAAAAAAAAATAGAAAGAAAAAACAAGACACTTTGGTTTGAAATTTGGTCAGGAGTAGCAATAGTCAAGGCCCGGACCGCAAGCTATCCTGTTATAAAGCATAAGGGAGCCATAATTGCGCAAACCAAGTCTATGAGTAAAATGAGATTGCTCGACGAATCCCATCAATGTCTAGCAGTTCAAGTAAAGTTTCAACATTAGCAAACTAGTTTAGTTACCAAAGGCCCCCATAGTAGTCCGTGTTTATTGCAAACAAAATTAATATTGTAAAAAAGGGTAAATTCTGTTTACGAGTGCAACCACATCACTATTTTGATAAGCTGTGCTAGAAACTTCGCCTTTTTCCGGAAAATTCTGTTTCGTTATTTTAGGGATATCTCATCATCAGCGTCTAGAATGTTCTTACTGCTAAAAATAGTGTTTTAGAAATAGGTATGACGTAATCGACTACTCTAAATAAGGTTCAAGATTGTGAGATTTAGAAAGGTTTTTAGAAGTTTAAGATACCACTTTAAAGTTAGTAGACCAATAAAGTGCTTTAAGTGGAAAACAGAAATCTTCTCTTGACTTCGTGACAACGAGGCAGGTGGCCCATCAGGCCGGTGCTTAACGCCAGTTTCCGTAGCATGAAGTGACTAGGAGTATTTCTACTCCACCCTGGATAGGATGGTAGTCTATCCCAGTGTTACCCCCCAGCATTAAATTCCCTGATACCCACTTAAACATCTGGGTGAAGAAATGCACTGAGATAGTGTTGTGCTTAATAACACAACACATGTCCCCGGCCTGGGCTTGAAACCGGACCACTCGATCCGGAGTCGAGTGCACAAACCTTGAGGCCACCGCGCCTCCCAGATAACAAAATTGTTATAGATGTGAAAATCTCCAGAGTCAAAGAAACGTGTATTTAACGTGGCATTTAACTATTTCTTCAACCTTTGTCAAATGGCCGATCATTAGGCAGATTGAAGTATGATTTGACAACAAGCAACGCTGCCATTGATACTATGGTGGTGCTGATACCCAGAAACACAAACACACAACGTAGTAGCATCTTAATTTAAAACAGAGCAATTGCTTTTAACAAGATCACTTTGCAACAAAGCCGTAATCTAAATGCTGCGGGCAACTACTGAGCTTTACCGTAACCATCAGACGTGCAATAGAGTAGTTAAAAAAAAACCTCCCGAGCTTTACTTTGATGCTTGGTTCAGTCTATTTACTAATTTAAAAGCATACCTTTAGGGTTAATTGCAAGTTCCCTTTAGTCACAATTTCGGCTGGAATTGTAACTTGTACGTCTGGATACTCCGGGATTCTACAGGTGAACTTCTGATTACGTGAATGGTCGATCAAGTATGTGTGCGACTTGAGTCTGTAGAGAACAGCATAGGTGGAACAGCGTGTCACTCTGGCCTCAGCGTACGGCACTCTAAGCCTTGACAAGAGGTTTTCTTCGACATCTGGAGGAAACAAAGGCGTTTTCACGAAGGGAAATATAATCAGTACGTCTTCGTTAACATTGCACTTTAAAAGGACGAGATGCCTACTATGTGAAAGATAATTAGCCAGCAGCAAAGACTTATTTAGTTCAAAGCATCATGATTTGAAGCTCTCAACGTAGAATATGTCAGGTGCAAAGGACTTTTCGTGGAAGCAATGAGCAAAAATCACAAAAACGTAGAAAACCGTTTTTGGTTTTAAAGGAAACGTATGTATCAACGATGATAAAATGGAAAAGACGGCGATTGAGAGAAAACATTCCTCGGAATTAAATACATGTTTTAACCTTCATTATTACCTGAGTTCTCCCAAACGTTTGTTGTCTCCAAATCTTTCCATTCCCTTTTAGTCGAATCAACTAGCTCGCTAATTACAACTTCATATCCCTCAAGTTTAGCAGCACTATGTGAGAGGGCAACTGTTACTGTTTCATCAAATTCTCCAGTGAAACTAGTGCCTGATAATTCACTATATGACAGCTGTATCACATCGCTAACCAACTCCTCGTTCTTCGCCAAAGGCAGAAGTTCCATTGTTGAACCCAAAAGGGTACATTTGAACAATATGGCTGTCGGAACAGCGTTTGGGGCAAATGCTATACATGCGGCAGCTTGGATTTCTTGAAGCTTCCAAAGTGACCCACTCTTGTCAACTAAACAACTAAAATGAAAAAGGAAATGAAAAAGGGAATGAAAAAGAAGATAAACAAGGGGAGAAAATGAGAAGATGTATGTATTCGTTGTCGATGTCACGAGGTGGCAACAAGATTGGATAGATTAAGTCAAAATGAATCATTTGTCATGCAGTTAAAACTCGTGATGTTTAAGAAACTTACCTCTCAGATTCGTTTGAAGTAGATTGTAGCATGTTTTGTGACAAAGCATTTGGCCCGATTTTCATTTCCTCCTGCTGTTGCAGATCCTCAAGCTTACTGTCTGTCTCGGCCTGTGATTCACACTCCATGGGGTCTGATTCAGACTCAAGTCCAAAAGGACCTTGAGAAACTACCCTTGGGAGAAAGCACTCCGAATGTCCTGGGTTAGATGAATAATATCATGAGTGACAAATTACTCCTTAATTTTGGCGCGAAATTTCAGCGTTAATTTTTAATTTCACATGTGATATTACAAAATTGCCATGGTAACATCTCTTGTATCTCGATCAGAGCCATGATGACGTCGAGATTTAAGACGGTGACCCTTGAAGAAGTTACGAAATTAAAAGAAGCGGCCGAAAATTATTAACAGGCACGAAGAATTCGAAAGGTATATTTTTTGAAGAAACTCAGAAAATTACGAACTTTAACAATGATGTATGCTTTAAACAAAAACTAGATTCTTCTTGATGTTCTCGGTTTTCGATAAAATAAACCATTAAAAACAATTACGGTTGTGAACGTAATTTGTCACCCATGCTATTAAAAGGCAATCAAATGGTTTTCTCGTGACATTAGGAAATAATTTCACTTGCGTCTTGTCAAAATTCTGATAATTTCCCCCGCCTAAAGGCTCGGGAAATTATCAGAATTTTGACAAAACGCGCGTGAAATTATTTCCTAATTTCACTTCTCGCCATTTGATTACACATACTAATTTAATTCTAGCTACTTCAGAAACTGTAAAACAGGCAGTTAATAGGTTTTACTAAGAGAGATGGTAATTTGAGCTTGGTGATGGAGTCAAGAGAAATCTTTTTCTCGATGTCAGAGGCATGGGACTGGACGTGTGTCGCATTTGGATCTAGCAATATCCTAAGTCTCGATCATAAAGTCTCTGTGGCTAAGTGATGGGGCGTAAGAGTGAGAAATCTGCAGCTCTGATGTTCGATTCCACACGGGGACTCAGAATTTTTCCTTTTCGTTTCGTCTGTTCTGGTTGTGGTCTACTCTATTATAAACAAATTTATCATACGAACCGTAAGGCCCGTTCACTCAATCCTATCATTAGAAAACCAAAATGAAAGTTGAAGTATGTAGGACCAATTCGGATGGGGTGAGCTGTCCGACCCTGCATGACTCGGTTGCAGGTCATGAATTCCAATTGTGGAATCAAATTTGAAATAAAACAAAAATTAAATTTGTGCCGCGTTTACGGATTAACATAGACAACCAAAACCTAACGATAAAAGTCCGACGTTTCGGCAACATCTTGGCGCCATTGTCAAGGAAAACTAAATTAAATATGCGATTTCAAGAGTAACTAAGAGCCCAGAGTCACTAATTTGCATAGGTCAGGCAAAGACCTTGGCGCGAATTGAGTCTGATTGTACGTTCAAACAAGCTCGTAGTTGTTTAATGAGTAACATCTCATTAAAAAGACAATCAAACTTGTTATGGCATATTTTCAACACCTTAAAACAATTGTGAAAGTCATCCGGATCCGGAATCCTGCCCGCGTGTCTATTATCGTAGTGTTTACTTTACAGTCGTAGATTTTAACCGCAATGAATTTTAACTGTTAAAATCTACGACTACAAACACCACTCGGGTTGTCATACCCTTTAAAGACCAGGAATCAGCTAATATCGTGAAGACACAGTTAAAAGACCACAGTGTGAAACTCCAGACCATTGTCCAACCAGTGTTTACGAGCTGCAAGATTGCCCAGGAGTTCCCGACAAGCGAACCAAAGCCTCAACTCATTGATCAACAGTGCGTTGTGTACAACTTTAAGTGTGACCAGTGCGATGCTGGTTATGTCGGATACACCCGTGGCCACCTCTTCGTACACGTTGATGGACATAGAAGCAAGACCTCGTCAGTGCGTAAACACTGCATAGGTCTTTGGCTGACCTATGCAAATTAGTGACTCTGGATTCTTAGTTACTCTTGAAATCGCATATTTAATTTAGTTTTCCATGACAATGGCTCCAAGATGTCGCCGAAACGTCGGACTTTTATCGTTAGTCTTTGGCTGTTTATGTTTATCGAAATCATTGTTGTTTACGGATTAATTGTCATTTTCTTTCTCTGAATCGAGGAGATGAAAGGAATAGGTTTTGTTGTATAATATTTTTAAGCTTTCCAGAACGTGATGGGATGAGATAAAATGACAAGAGTCGAGAACAGACAAGACGACCAAGTAGGCATGCGATGAGATACTTTGACTGGGTTTTTGCTGTCACTGACGGAAAAATATTTGGCTCCACGTGGTCCTAAATTACGGACCTCACCGCCCTCGGTCTGTAATTTTGACACCCTGTCAATATGTAGCTAGCCCTCCATCGGCTATTGCGATACATTGTTTGGCTTGCAGTGGTTCCTGTTCCTCTCGCATGTAAGTAGAGAGCTTAGGAATGTTTCCAGTCAAATCAAGTGAAGCGTACCCTTAAAAACTACATCAATGAATCGATGATCCCAATTTTGAACCCGATAAACGTATTTTTTTTCAAAAGGCGCGGAACTTTGTTTGAATTAGAAGTCGATTTTTGATTTGAACACGATCTGCGCTACTTCATTAATGTAATCTTGAGGAGTACGCTTCACTTGTTTCGACTGTAACTTGAGAGTCGGAATTGGACCGCCGCCCAGTTAGCCCAATGGATAGTGTGGTGGACTGTTGTGCGGGAGGTGGAGGGTTCGAGCCCCGGCCGGACCAACACTCAAGGTCTTAAAATAATTGAGAAGAATTTGCTACCTTTCTATAACATCAAGAAATGGTTAGATATTCTAGTTTTCTCGGACAGGGACGATTAAATGGAGGTCCCGTCTCCTGCAGGGTTGGGGGCAGGAGACGTTAATACCCCACACACGAGATTACTGTGTGATGGATGTCCTCCCCTGGGGTGGGATAGGTGGGAAGGCGAGATCGATGGACTGTTGCGGCTGCCAGAGGCGCCCGATATGGTGACGTCTGTTCTCAACCTTAAACTGCACCCATAATTCAGCCTCACTGGCTGCAAGTGGTCAGAAATACTATATTACTAAATTGAGACGGTTGGGTCATACCCCAGACCTTTTCAGAATTACTTTCGGATCTGACACTCGAAAGTTAAAAAGTACACTTGTGTCAGCATGCTTTTTCACAAAATCTTACACAATCGTCTAATGTTTTTGCTCTCACAGATCATAGAGATGACGTCAGAAATGTTCAGAACTAAAGGGCTATACAAGTGACAGGACTATTATAAGAACACAAGGGATAAAAGGAAACCGCTTGAGTATATAAATAGCAACTTGGTAAAGGAAAACTTTCAACTTACCACATACGAAATAATCTCTATCAGCTCTGTATTCCTCTTCAGAAATAGCTATTTTGAGTATCATCTCAGTTAAGCCAAATTCCATCAAAATCTCTTCTGTCACAAGATACTTTTGCGCCATCTCATTCAACAGGCCAATGCGATAGCCATCCCACAGTGCGTCAAGGCTTTCTAATGATCTGCAGCGCGCAATAGCTATCAAGCTGCCCTCGTTATAGCGTGTACTTACAACCCTCATTGGCATCAGATCTTCTTTACTAAAATGATCTTCTTTACTAAAACGATCTTCTTTACTAACAGGAGGTGAGGTTCTCATATAGTTCGCGGCGAGTAAATATGAAAGGAGCATCGGGTCTTCTGTAACACGTCCGCGCCGAAGTACAATCTCTGATTTTGATGTAGTGGACATTTTTGCTAAAGGCACAAAAAAAAAAATAATAATAATAAAAATTAAATAGCCTCAAGCTTCACAATTGATAAGACGAATAGTACTTATTAACATATAAACGACGACTTGTCTTCTTTCCTTGTTACCGTGCTGGTTATTTGAAAGTTCTTCGCCGGTTTCAATTTTTTTAGGTATATTTCTAAGGACCGTTGAAGGCAGAAGGCAAAAGGCGACAGGAACTCGCAGATGATTACGAAGATGCATCATATCCAGAAATTTCGGACAACATGGCTGCCAGCACGTTCGCGAGCATGCGCAGATAACACAACAAGAGATTGAAAATGGCGGCAGAACATAAAAGAAATATGTGGGAAATTTTTTTACTTTCCTGTTTTTTGTAATTTTCAGCTACATTTTCATCGAACAAGAAATGATAGGCCCAATGGAAGCCCTTACTAACCTATGAAAACAGCGCTTATCTTCATGTTTTTCTAAGCGTGAGGTGAGAAAGTTCTCTTCCCGACAAGTTTGCCTAGCTTCCCATCCAAAACATTCGATGTTTATCTTGGAGAACAAAGGTTTTTTTTCTCTCCAGAAAAGAAAAAAAAAACACTTGCTAAGGCACAGCCTTTTTACGAAGAAAATCGGGCTCGTTGTAGTTGAAACCAATGAAGAATCGGAACCATTACTGAGGGAAAAATGCTGAGAGAAGGTTTGTCTTCTTTCTGTTTGGCAGCTCTTTGGCAGCCATTTTTGTTCTACCTCGTCTCGATTGGTCAGCTGTAATCCCTGTTAAAATAGGGCAACTATTGAATATAGAAACCGGCTGAATTTCAAAATATAGCGGGAAAAAACTGCGAGAAAGATTTTGTTCAAATAATTAATTATGCCGTGTCTGATATACCGCCAGTTAAATCTTTTTTACCTTGGAAAATTAACGTTGTGGACGTCTCACTACAATATGCAAAAGACAGAGAAGCAAAAAAAATAGCCTTGACCATTTCCATGATCTATTGCACCATTAAAGAATGGTACTATCTTGATTGAAGGAACCGAAAGAGTAAAATCATTATATTTACCTTTCCTCTCATCCTTCGCTGACTCAATACTCTTTCTACTTCATAAAATGGCCCTTTCCTTGCTGATGTGCAATCATCTAGATAATCTGCAGTGCTCATGTTATTCAAATCCTCATAAAAGCCCTTGCTCGCTCTTTTCTTCGCCCTGGCCGCCATTTTGATCGAGTCTGATCATGCGCCCGTGGTGAATGCCGCTTGCCGTCCTCGATTTCTGGCTATGTTGCAGCTATTCAAAAGCCCATCAGTTTCTTATATGCGCGCGGACTTGCGAGTAATGTGTTGATATGCTACCGAACTGGTTAAAGCACAATTGAAATGAGGTACGACCTGAGAAAGAGTTGTTTTGTAAGAGCTAACCTTCAGCAACGAGCTTTGGATTAAAATCTATGTCTTCAACTTCAACGCGATTGGGCTCTTCGTGAGTTTTTTCGTTTCCCTAAGAGCCAGGCGCTCAAAAGTAAAATATTAATTTTGGAGTCTGCAGCTTTCATTCACAAAAATATCGTTGTACATGCAAAAAGGTAAAGTGTTGCACAATCATTGTTACTGAAAACATACTGACACGGTAGCCCCGATCAAGTTTAAATTCTTGTTTATGAAAGCGATGCTCGTAACAATGAACACAACTAATACATTTCTTTAAACCGTAGTGCACATGTATGATTTTCATAGATTCTCAGTTTTTAAGTTCTTTCACACACTTTGAAAAGCCTGAGCGTTGGAGGCTTCATATCCTGCTGTCCTTGTTTCTTCAAAGAGCGCATTTAATTTCACATTTTAATCGTTTTAACAGAAGTCTGTGTTGATGACGTATGTGTATCATGCACACCTTCATCCTCCCTTGGAGGTGCTTGACATGTCATTCTTATGCTTTCCCACTCTTGAAAGAGATTATTTCTCGATTTTTTCTGCCTTTAAACCAAGTGTTATATCTCAAAAAATCGGTTGAGAATACCTTGTTTCTACTTCTTTAAGACATGTTACGCATCCGATTCGAATGGTGTAAAAAAAAGAAAAAAAAAGCCGAGAAATCGTTTTTTACTAAAAAGGGCTTCTAAATTCACGAAATTTGGAAAGCGGCTACAGTTATTCATACGAATATGTGTTTTTGATTGTTTGTTTTTTCAAATTCTTCATTGTTTCTAAGGGATCAGAGCGGGAAATTCTGATTTGGTAGGCATGGACAAGACTGATTGGCCTATCCTACCAACTAGGCACCTAATCAGACCTCGGACGGTATCCAATACCTCGGGCACAGTTTCTCTCAAATACGGACCTCTCGTCTGATGAATAACATTACATATATGTATAAGGTCTGCTGACCTACAAGCCCTTATATCTGCACTTTTGTATGTATTCCATTGGTAGTGTAGGTAATGTAGGTAGTGTAGTCAAATATGGTACATAAATGAGTAATTAACAAAACGAAAAGAACACATGTAAATAAATTGCTGCGAGGCACATAAGAAGTGTGAAAGACGATAAAGAAATCAAAAGTTCATCATAACATGGTATAGCACTATCTATGGGCTTTGAATATTAAGATCCTGGTATACATACACAAACCCTTCATCTGATCTTTACAGCTTAACGCCAAGTAACTGAAGTCATTGCGAACTTCGTGGATTTTCTCGTGTTTTCCTGGATACCACTCACCGACACATAATGGAACGAGGCAATTATGAATGATGTTATGTAGAGCAAAGAACCCCTTTTAAATTGCTTTGTTCTCAATATGTGACTTCGTAACCCACTTCGTAGCTAACTAGTATCTTGAAGGCCCGAATTTGGTTATCTATAAGATTTCTTTTTCTGCAGTGACTTTAATTGGGATTGACCTTTAGGGATCAATTTGTTTCTACAGGTCAGAGTGTGACTTAATTATCAAAGCGCTTTCTTGATTCATGTGTTGTTCTTATAAAGGAGATGCTAGTAGCATAACTAAATTTCAACCATGCATCAAAGGAAACAATTATTCTAACAGTCATCAGCTAACCTTGTGTCCTTTCGGAGAAGCGAACTGACTCTGAAACTTTCTCTTTAGATTCGTCCGCAACTCTCTGTTTCTCCTTCTTCTGATGGGCTTTTTCTAACATAGGTTTGTCTCCTTCAAAAATTATTTTTTCTTTACCTCCTTGTAGACCAGGTCCTGAGATGGACACACATTCGATATGCAGATGAAGGTCAACTATAAAAAAAAAATGTGTTTAACGTATGCAGAATAAACAATAAAAAAAAACCTCTAGAACTTGCCGGAGTGTGTAACGTTCACCTTTAAAATGTTAAGAAGTTTTCCGTTAACTTTCGTTTTAATTACTACTGACTATTGTGATGTACTATAATTTTCGGTTGTAAACAAATGGAGTGGAAAAAATATAAGACATCAAAAACAAAAGCACAGCTACAGGAGTTTTTCCGTTCTACCTAAAAGAGAATTAAAAAATATTTTTCCGATATATTAGATCGTGGGAAACAAGGACCTCAATTAAGAATTAGAGAAGCATTTATCATACTGAGCTTCATTATTTTAGTATGTTTCATATGATGATATGGAACATTCCTGACGTTGCATAAATAGAATGTCTACGTCAGGAAATAAGCTTATGCTCAAACCCTCAATAAACTCGAACCAAAAAGTATAAACTAAGTACTCATATTAGCGGGGCTCCCACGCGCGCTTTGGGCGCGTGGGGCAGAGCCCCATACCCATGGAATTTGGTCAACCTCTTTTCGTTTGGTTGTCACGTGACTGACCGAGCGTACGTGCCCTCAGATTGCACGAGTAGGGTAGGGGAGACAATCAAAACGAAGGGAGGGGTGTCTCAGGCGAGTCTTGGCAAATGCACATCTTTTATGTTATCATTAATCAAGTTACGAACTTGGGAGCTCCGCTTCTAGGCTTGGCTAAATATATCTATTATGCTCAGGTCACCCCGATTAAGAATACTGAAAGTGATAAATATCGTCAATTAGGGTCGCCTTTTTGGTGGGACTCTTCTTTTTTTAACCAGTAAAATTGTATCAGATAAAACCTTAATGTAGAAATTGGGTGTAAAAATATAAGTTTTCCAATCCTACAAAATAGTACTTTTGAACTGAGACAGGAAAACCAATTTCATTGGAAACGTGAAATTATTGTAAGCAAACTTCCGTGACACCAGTAGTGATATTTTCTCAAATGAAGGTTCCATCTAACCTTCATCTTGCTCTTTTTCTCGGGTTGAAAATCTTGGAAGAATTTCTCTACGAAAAAATCTAACTCTTTTCTGCAATTGAGGTAGGCTCATCAGCTTCTTCCTGAGCGGATCTTTGATATCTTTAGCGATATTTCGAAAGAGCGTCTCTATGTGCTGGCCTTTCGTCATAAGACCTCCTTTTTTCACAAGCTCTTTCTGTGTTTTTCCTATACTTGTCTCGATCTTTTCTTTGGTTGACGCTTTCTTTTCCATAATGGCTTTGTTGATCTCTATTTGAGTCGTGTACCACATCTTCAATTCTTCCGTCTCTCTTGCATCCATAACCACCGGCAAGTCGTTTGACAGGATCATAATGGCTTCTTCTAGTTTGCCTTTCCTCGTTGAGCCGATCTTGCTTGCGATTCGGTGAAATATATTCTTGATGTTTTCCCATAGAGAAAGAAACGACTCGTCTAACATTTCGATTTTGTCAGCCAAGTGACGGAAGAGTGACTTCCCATAAAAGTTGATTCTTGCCAAATCAGCAGCTGCACTTTGATCAGTTGCTACAGGCAGAGTATCCCATCCCGTAAGAGGAGGAGTGTAGTCACATATTGTCATCAATAAAGTGAGTAGCAGAGAGAAGTCAAAATCATTTGACACTACAGTTACTCCCAAAGAAGGGTAAAGGCAGTCCCACTGTGCTCTGGTTATCACTGCAGACTTTAGCTTATTCACCGTTGTAGGGTCTTTCAAGATTTTTGGGAGGATACTTGGGGGATGAATGAGGTCAAAACTTTCCCTTAGTAGCTTTGTACCTTCACCGGTTAAGAGCCGTGCGATGCGTATAACGTTTTTATATGGTGCAAAGTCTGTTTCATCTAGACCTGAGGTGGAGGCCATCGCAGTTAACAGATTTTGTCTTTAAAAGATGTTGCTCTACGAATCTTGACTTCTCTGGATCTCCTCAAGGCTCTCTTTTTGCCTCAGATTGATATCATATTGGTCTTACAGCATTATGAAGCCTGCAATATAAGATATAAGAACAAAGTTTGTTGAACAAAATATTTAAAATCTGTTGAAATTTTATTTGAACTTTGCAGAGAAGGCTAAGGGGCGAAACTGCCGGGATTTTTGAGCGGTAAAATGAGATTTGAATCCCTAGGAATGGTAATCAAAAGCTGGCTGGCCTTTATAATCTTCTCTTGAAGTTGTCCCTTGCTGGCTAGAAGCTGATCAAGAACCAATCAGTTGTACGGTTATACGGTGTCTTAGCGAGTTCTCATTAGTTCTTCCACGGTTATTACAACTTCTTCTTCTATCCACTCTTTTAATCTCCTCTTTCTTAAGCTATAGAATTTTCCTTGTTTGATCATGAGAATAATTCTCTTGTTTAAGTTTTTGACCGTTAGGGCTCTCAAAGCAAAAATGAAAGATCACATCTGTTTTCATCGATCTTTAGAAAATATATATTTATCTGCATGGAAAGGTTAAACTTGGTATCCGTAAAACAGTGCTCGATACATATAGTAGAGCGAGTATAACGTGTGATAAGCAGAAAAAAAATCAGTCAACTACATTTCATCCCTACAGACCTGTTTCGTGGTTGCCCACATTAAAATCCCCCAATGAGTGGGCAACCACGAAACAGGTCTGTAGGGATGAAATATAGTTGACTGATTTTTTCTGCTTATCACACGTTATTTATCTACATATATTTTCCTTCTCTGAATATCTTTTTCTCCCAGAAGTTCAGAACTGATTTTGTAAAATTTCAACTGCACATATAAATGTTATTGATGAACTCAGAATTGCATACGCAAGTTTGTACAAATATGAGCCGGACGAGGAAAGTATTGGAGATCACAAGCTTGAAGCTGTCAACCAAATGGTGTCAACCAAATCGGTCTCTGGGAACTCTATTAAAATCAATTTCCGATATTGAAGCATTACTGGGCACCGATCTTGCGCTTCTTATAAAATTGTCAGAGTAGGAGCGTCACAAATTTAAAGTTTGTTTACTCGACACAAATCACGCGACCATCTGGTTCACATTGGGTTTTACTTCCGGTTCTGAATGTTTCAAGAAATTTTTATTGAAGAAAATGAAAAAAAATTCAGGTTATATGATTTTTTAAGGTATTATGATTATCAAGCACT